AAAATCTTCCCAATTTGGATGTTCATGTAATTTTTTCAATGCAATATCAGTAATTCTTCTAAATTTATCAGCATCAATAGTACTTTTACAATCAATGATTACACAAGGACCTTTATTTTGAATATTTTTAGGCATTATTATATATGATTTAATTAAATAAAGTATGTATGACTTTTTATTTTGTAGTTTGGATTTTTATTTGAAAATTTACAAAGTTTTGCCTTTTTTTATAGTTTTTTTTTTTTACTAATACAATAGCAATGAATAAGTTATCTTCTATTTTAGCATTCATCCAAAGATTTAATTGAGCCAATAAAATTTAATTTTTGCGTGATGTCTGGAAGGGAGATCATCGCAAAATTTAGCCAATGAAATCAAACTTCCATCATGCTCAAATTTACCAATAAATTTCAAGAAAATCATTGTGATACAAGAAAACTAAGAGTTTCAGCCAATAGAATTTAAGAAAATTATTATGATACAAATGGCAACAGGAGAGAACCAGGGATGATGATTTTTTGTGTTTCACATAATTTCACAGATTTCTGCGATTTCTGTGATATAAGAAGAAATCATGTTACATCACCACAAAAATTCACAAAAAATAGGTTACATCACAGAATTTAATTAAAGCTGCACACTATACCTTATTTTGAATAGTATTTACATATTTGTTTGCATATTTTGATGTTTTAATTGTTATAACTATATATTGTGTGAGAATATTTTTATTACTTTAACAAATAATGACTTCACAACGTCTTAAAAATTCAGTGGTGTCAATTCATTCTCGAATCAGAGAATATCCTGAAGTTTTTAGAAATGATTCTGGAATAATGTTTTGTATTTATTGTGACAAATCTATTGACTGGAAACACAAATCAACAATAGACAGTCATGTCAATAGTATTAAGCATGAATCAAATAAAAGAAAATACAAAGCTAAACAACAAGTATCTCACCAACAAACCCTTCAAACTACATTTAGAGCAGCAGATTCCAAAAAAATTGTAATAGAAGATTTAATTGAAGCATTTGTTGGTGCTGATATACCACTTCAAAAGGTTGATAAATTGCTCCCCTTTTTCAAAAAGCATTTAAGAGAAGGAGGTGCAATTCCAAAAGCTCCAACTCTAAGACAAATATATCTTCCAAATATTTTTGAAAGTCATTTTTCTTCTCTTAAATTGCTATTTGATTCTAAACCAGTTTCTATTATTATGAATGAAAGTTTAGATGATTGTGCTCGTAGTGTAGTAAATACTATTTTTGTATACCACAATTACACCAAGCTTGTTTCAGTTGATTTTTTAGATAAAGTCAATAATTCAACAATTGGCCAGACACTTTTTTACATCTTAGCAAAATACAACATACCTTTTGATAAGCCAATTGTTTTTTTGTCAGACTCTGCTGCATATATGAAAAAAAGTTTTCGTGAGGTATTACATCCTGTTATGAGACAATTAATTCATGTACCATGCTGTGCACATATTATGAACTTGATTGGGTAAATTTTTTTATTTAATTATAATAATTACAATAAATAATTACAATAAATATAAATTTTTTTATTATATAGTGAAACTTGGATAAAATTTCCCCAATTTAGTATTGTAAAAAAGTTTTTACAAAATATTAAAGATGCTTTTGTGAAATCAGCTGCACGAAGACGTCGGTATATAACTCATCTTAAACATCATGGAATAGTATCACCATGTAAAATACCACTTCCTAATGCAACAAGATGGAATTCATGGTTTAAAATGGTATTATATACAAAAGAATATATCAACTACTGGCCACATTTTTTTGAAAGTGAATTGCAAGAAAATTCTAATAATACATTATTAGAAATTCATAATACTTTACAAAATGAACATGAAAGAGGCATTATTACAATTTATGTTTATTTCATTTCAATTTTTTCACAAGAATTTATTCAAACTCTTGATTTTTTCCAACAAAAAAATCTACCAGTATTTCCTTATATTGAAAGAAGACTTCAGCATCTTACAGCATATTTAGAATCAAATAGAACTGCTGAAAATTTTGGTTCAGGTCTTGATGAATTAATTCTTAGTCTTCATTTTGTTCCTAGAGATTTTTATCCAATTTTTCGTGCTGCATTTGAAGCTGCATTTTTAAAATTTTCTTTACATATACCTAATCATCCAGCACGTGAATTATTTTGTGCATGTAGAGTTTTTGATCCTGTTTTTATTCATCTGGGAGATATTCAATGAAGAAACATTAGACTTTATTCTACAATTGTACCATTTAACAATCCTTCACATAATCTTTTGTATGAATGGGGCATATATTGTGGATTGGAAACTCCACTAGATTTAGGAGAAAATATGATTGAGAAGTTTTGGTTAGATAAAGTGAATGAATTGCCAATTTTGTCTAGCATTGCATTAGATTATATTTGGCTACCAATTTCTAGTTGTACAGTTGAAAGGAGTTTTTCTTTTTACAATACCATCTTGGATAATAATCGGCAAAATTTGTCTCAAGATTCTTTAAAAATATTAACTATGATGCATTTTAATTCAAATTAATTAACCTTCCTTCTTTATGTTTATATTTTTTTATGTTTATTATATATCTTTATCTGTTATAACATAATAAACATTTGGTTTATATTAAATTATCAATGTATTTTTATCATAATATTGCCACGTAATTTCACACATTTACCAAAAAAGCACCACAAAACTTCACAAATTTTGCAAAAATGAGATCACAAATTTAGGCTTGAGCACAAAAATATTTTACCTTATGTCACAGGAAAAAATCATCGTCCCTGGGTCACATGCTATTAAAATCAAGTGATCAACTCATGTTTTTAAGGGATTTTTTGCTGTTTTAATAGTGTGTAACCCCCTTAATGATATTCATGATATTCATGAATAAAAACCCTAATCATAAAAGATATAAAATGCCATTTGTGAGTATTATATAATTATATTATTTTTTTTAAAAAAATAAGTATTTGATTCATAAATAATCCATTTTCTAGCCATAGAATACATAATCTAAACAATTACATTGATGATGATGATGATACTAACAAAGGCACTTGGACTACAAATGGAGTTATTGCCCTTCTTAAAATAGCATCTTCTGCTGTTCCTGATGTATGATTGTATAGGTACAAAATATATATTATTAATATGTATACCTATTTTTAATCTACAGCAACATAATAATAATAATATTTAATGTATATAGTCCAGAAAAACAATCAGATGCTTCCAAAAAAAGAAGAGTAGAGCAACATAAAGAATACAATCCAAATCCAACTAAGGTACTGTTTTGCCAAAATTCAATATTTCTTTTTCTATTAACTTTTTCAAATATATTCTATATCAATATTTAGAAATCTCGTGAACATACTGGCAAAAAGCCAGATTTTAGTTTCAAAATAAGAAAGTCGTCATCTGAAATCAAAATAAAATTCAAGCTTCTTGTAGGTGAAGTTGCATTCTCACCTTTACAAGAAATAAGGTTGTGGGTGAAACCTCCTTAGTAATTGCTGAAACCATGGCAAAACTATATTAAATCTTATCAAAAATCCTGTTGAAACTATGCCGAAATGGCAAAACCTCAAAATGCAAAACTCTGCTGAAACTCTAATAAACAATTAATGTGTAACCTGCCGAAACCCTGCTGATTGATTTCTGGATGAGTTTTGGCAAGCAACCTTAACAAGAAAATGAAAATAAGACAAAGGACGATCGTTATAAATTGTATCGGATGATGAAAGACATTCATGATTATATATTTAAAACATATATTTCTAAATTTAGTGGAGTAGAGATTGTCAAAATTGGACAATTAGAAATATACAGAGTTCTTGTTACAGGTTAAAATATTTAATTTCATTTCAATTTTACAGTACGTTGATTGTCCATTCTCCTAATGAGTTTATGCCACTTATGATTTTAGGTTTTAAATTGATTGTGTTTGTTCTTGACAGACCCGGATATGGATTATACAGAGTCCGAAAAGTTGATGAGGTAATTATACCCGTAAAAAAAAAGGACGATAAAATTATACTAGTACTTGAATCATTAATGGTATGTAGAATATTTATTCGTGATTTGAAACAAAATATAGCATCATTATGCTGTTTTTTATATTAATATCCTAAAAATTAATAGTACACCGTTATGCAAACAAAGAATTTTATTAACGATTTATTCCGTAGCAAAACCAAAAAAGTCAACTTAAAATTTGTTTCAACGCCATCAACAAGCAGATCACCTCCAAGATGATTTAAATTGTCAATTTTATCATTTATTGATAATATTTCTTTTAATTATTATTATTATTACTATTATTATGTTGCTTTAAAAAAAACAAATAATTCATTTTATGAATTTAGTATATACAGTACCTGGACAAAAGTATCGGACCCCCTAAATATATTAATTACGCAAAAACGTACATAATAAGTATACAGAAAATTTATGTCAGTTTATAGCTTAGGTTT